AGATTGGTTAACTCAAAAAAAGAATGTAATTTTCTTTTTCTCCATTTATAAAGTATCATCTTGACGATGGTAATAGAATGAGTTAATTATTTTTTTTTCTTCTTCGAAAAAGAGAGTGTGTGCATAGAGATTTTCTTGTATATGTTAGTTGCTTGTAGTCATCAAGTAAGCATACATTACAGAACTGAAAATAGTTCATTCTTGCAGGTATGCATGCCATATTTAACTGGATCAAAACACAAATAGTTGAACTGAATTTGTTCAAGAGTGAATTATCTCTTTCTGATGCTTTTCATTTGCGGACTGCAATAATCTCGACTCGTGTGTATGTTGTTTTGCTCACATTGGCCGTTACGATTCTCATCTCTTTCACTGTATTGAGCGGGCAAAGCAGAACTGTAACTATTAAATATCCGTCGCAAGCGATCTTTGAAGATTTATACAACAAATATCCTTCAACACTTCAATGTCCCTGCAGTCAGGTCGCTATTGCGCGTAGGCTATTTATTTCAATTTCTCTCGAATATCACCCCGTATGCCTTAGTTCATTTGTATCGGATGAATGGATCAATCTTCTTTTCAATCCAAATATTAGTTATTTCTTTCCAATTGATTTTCGCTCGTCAGCCATTGGCCATTTTCAATTGCTAACCTCGTTATGTTCGCTGGCTTCGAGATCAATACATGATGCAATCGATAATTTTCTTTCGGATACTCTACTAACACCGTATGTAATTTCCCGATTGTCATTTGATCAGCAAAGTGAAGCAGATAGTTTATTTGTGCAAATATCAACAGCAAACGCTTTTGAACATCTCCTCCGTCTCATCCGTAATATTACGCACATCAATGGGCTGCAAACAGCATCTCAACGATCAAGAGCATATCAGATATATTTTGATGATATGAATATGCTATCAGTAACCGGAGCCCTAGGCACCGAATTTTATTACGATGTTGGAGAGCATTGTTTTTGTCATTACCAGCCCACATGTCTATTGCCATCTGCATTTTATACGGATTATTTTTATGGCTATCCAGCCCATACTACATATGAATGGGATTATCCGCACTTGGCTAATGTGAGCGGGTTCATGGTTGGATGCTATGATATTGAGTCACTTCTAGAATCAACACTCGAGTGTCTCTTCGATTCAACCTGTTTGCTCACAATACTCAGTTTTTATCCTGTGCCTATTAACACTACATTTACCACTCTCGACAAGAATCAGACCCACTTCGATCCACAGACACCTGTTAAAACATTGGCCAACAATTTATTCATCGAACGATGGACGACACTAAGTTCATTCTCAACTTATTATGCACAATGTGCGCCCATTTTCTGCACATACACGTTCATTGAGCATAATAATGTGTTGTATGTATTAACCAAATTATTAAGCCTCTACGGTGGAATCGTCGTAGTCCTTCGTTTAATCGTGCCCCGGTCCATCGTCTGGTGGCGTAATCGAGCTTTACGTCGACAGAATCCGGTGCAACCCAACTTAAGTAAGTGTTGATTGAATATACATACATACAACTCTTTCCATCACTCTCTCTTTTTCATATAGATGTGTCTCTTGTCGAACGTTGTCGTGCAATATGGTCTTGGATGCGAATTAAAATGATTGAATTAAATCTGTTCAAGAAGTCTGTCGCATATGATGATCCGTACGATTTGATCACATCAAGAATTGCGACTCGTATCTATCTCCTCAGTCTTTTTCTCTCTATTAGTATTCTTGTCGTTTACACTGCGTCTAATATCCAAACACAAACTGTCACCATTCAAAATCCAACTCAAAAGATCTTTGAAGACTTACAAGAAAAGTATCTGGCGACAATCAAATGCCCATGCAACCAAATAGTTATACCATATGGTTCATTTATCTCGCTGTCGCCTCAGTTTCATCCTGTGTGTACAAGTTTGTTTGTATCCGATGAATGGATTCAGAGCATACGAGGCCAATATTATGAGAATACGTATAGCCCAGAAAACTTCCAGGAATCTGGCCAGTATTTCTTTAATGCACTGGCTGTATTATGCTCATTGGCTCAAGCAACCATATCCGATGCTTGGCAGGTTTTTGCTAAAAATTCATTAGTCACTAGTCAGGTAATGTCTGATGATGAATTGTTGGCTCGTATACGTTCTGCATTGAATCAATTCGAATCGAGCACAGCGACTGATTTCAAACGTACTATTACACTAATCCAATCGCATACCAGAAATATGTTTATAGCCACAAACGAGCCCCCGTTTGTTGTGCCTCAAATAACTAATAATACTCAACGCATCGACGTTTTACTGCTGCCACAAAACCGTGGTAACTGTTCGTGTACTTTGAACAATGAATGTCAGCAACCGATTGGTTTGTATTCATCTGGCGATTACGACTATTACGGCTATTATACCACTCTAGAACTGACGATGAATATTCCAAACCTTTTCGTCGGCTGTTCTATCATTCAAGGCGTTCTTCACTCATCACTTGAATGTTTTTTTGATCAAGGATGTCTAGATGCAGTTCAATGGGCAATTATTTCTATATACTCGATAGATATACCCATTTTAGAAGCAAATACTACTCGATTTTTACCTCAGACATTGATTGGTGCCTTGCTCGATGCATTAATGGTTGAACAGTGGGGTGAACTTATTCAATATGATCAATATTATGCGCAATGTGCACCCAAACTATGCTCGTATACATATATTGCGCATAACAATGCATTATATGTATTTACAGTATTAGTCGGCTTATTTGGTGGACTTACAGCTGCATTAAAATTTCTTGTTCCAACTTTTGTCGGGTTTATACGAAAAAAAATGCGGCCAAAAGTTCCACAGATGACTGACATTCAATCAGGTAAGCCATGCTGATGAGAAGATATATTGTGTCTTTTCTCTTATATTCTATAGATCGTCACCCGACATTCGCCAATCGTCTACGGCTCCTTCAGCAACAATTCAAGAAGAAACTACTCGAACTAAATCTATTCGAAAGTGACGTAACACGACAAGATATTAACCTTACTCATACCGAAATTATTTCTACTCGTTTCTATATTTTGTGTCTGATTATTTCGATTGTCATTCTGATGACTTACACATCCTTGGCTATTGAAACAAAATATTTTATCGTGCACAATCCATCAAAAATGACATTTGAACAGTTACAATCCAATCGAAAATATTCGGCCACATTAGAGTGTCCTTGTCAGAATATTTCTATCCCATATGGTTCATTTATTTCAATTTCACCTCATTTTCATCAACTCTGTTCAAGTGATTTTATCTCAAATTCTTCAGCTTGGCTCAATTTACTATTTTATGATGAGGCTGCTCTCAATTATTCTTATGATAATTATCGTCTCTTTGCCGTCCCTCAGTTTCAATGGCTTACTTCATTGTGTAGCCTGGTGAATGACACACTCTCACAGGGATTGATTCAATTCACTTCGAGCACATTTGTCTCTAAATATCTACAATCTCAAGAAAATATTGAAATTCAAGCAACTGCAGCCATCGATCAGTTTCGCTTAGCAACACCTCGAACATTTGTACGTTTACTCGATTTTATTCGATACATGGCACAAGGAAATGAGATTGTTCATCGAGACTAGCTGGTGATGTGCACATGGCATTTGTAC